AAAAAAAATCAGTATGGGAAGGAGACAAAACGGGATCAGCGAAATTAAACGGGATTAGAAGGTGCAATGCAGAGCTGGGTGTGGGGTAGGTGATGGCTGGGACTGCTGGCACGGTGTATAGAGAAATACCCAATTTCAGTGTTTGAAAATAATTCTATTCCTCGTTTTTAACTCCTCACCCACTGAATTTCCCCTCAGCTTGTCCGTTATCCCACTCAGGCACTGACCAGGCTAATGGCCAGCTGAGCTAAACCTCCTCCAAATTACTAAACCTCCTCCAAATTACTAAACCTCCTCCAAATTACTAAACCTCCTCCAAATTGTTAAATTTCTGAAATTCCCGTTATCGAACTCTGCTCCTCACCCAGAACACAACATAGCATCTTTTGGAGGGGTTGTCCTGTGCAAAGCCAGGAACTGCATTTGATGATTCTTGTGGATCCCTTCCAGCTCAGGATATTCTATCCTGCAAGGCCTAGATTATTTAATTTAATGTTTTAATTACATGTTTTGCTTTTTTTCACAGTCAAGCTTGTCCCTGGTGCAGTTTTAAGTTTGCCCCAAGGTCAGCTGCTGCTTTCCAGTCCTGGGCTGAGAAAATGATTTCTCCAGCCACCCACCCAACCCCATGAGCCACATGTTTGATTTAGATTTGGATCATTTCCTCACCCTCAAAAGAACCCTGTGGATTGCACCATCCAAACCCAGGGGAGGGGAGAAAAAATAAAAACACTCTTGAAAACAAATGGAAAAATGGAACATAATGGGAAGGTTTCCTAAGAGGAACAGCAGCAGGCCAGGAGGGCAGGAGAGGAGCTGGGAACATGGACAGGTGTCCAAAACCCCTGGTTTTGTTTTTTTTTAGCTTACCTTGGGCTTCTTTTCATCAGCTTCAGTCCCTTCCTTGTCAACACGACCTGACAGATGGAAACACAGAGTTACACTCCTTGGGACTGGCCACAAACCCCAGAGGTGACAACACACTGCTGGGGGGTGTTCCCTGTCCCTGCTCTCCCTAAAAATCAACACTGTTCTTAGAAAGATGACAAAGCCGCTGTTTCCTGCCGAAATCCTTTCACCACTCCATAAACACATTCCTTCTGCGTTAGCAGATGATCCTGTGTTAATCAGCACACACCAACGAGGTTTGTGTGAGAGYATTTTGCCCAGATTTCCACCCAGTTCCTGCAGGATCCATCCAGTTTAGGACAGAAAGTTCCCTTCAACCCTAAACACGAGTCTCTAAAGCATCCACTTGTTCTAACAATCATATAAATAGAGACTCAGGCTGAAGGAAGCCCCAGTCCAGCAGCACTGTGATCTCATTTAAGGGGGCTGTTCAGTTGGCTTTGCAGAGCACTTTTATCCCTGGCTGTTTTTAATTCCCATCTCTCCTGACACACTGCTCGCCGCCTCCCAGCACAGTGCCCCTTCCACCTGGGTCAGTCTAATTAGGAGATTAGAAACAAGGAGAAGATAAAGTTTGTACCACAAGGCGCTCATAATAAAACCCTTTTCCCTCTGCTCTCAGCTAATCAAGTGGAGAAGCTGCTGATCTCCTCTGTGTTTGGAAAATTGTCCTGGGGGATCAGCCCTTTGCTGATGGCATGGGCAGTGTGGTCAGTCCAGCACTGACCCATCCCACCCCTCCCAAATTCAGCCAAACTGCACACCRGAGCAAGGCTGCAGCCAAACAGCCACCAAGATTGTCTTTGAAGGGAAAGAACATTAAATAATTAAACTTCTCCTACTGAATCAGAAGCTGGCTGGCTCTGGGCAGTGCATCCCCACCCTGCTGTTGTTCCAGGCTCCAGTGCAAGCCATGCCAGTGCCCTGCAGCACCCGTGCAAAGCTTTCCACTGCCAATCCCGTAGGGAACAACGAGAAATATGTTACGAGCTTTAGCTCCTGCAGAAAAAGCTCCATCAACAATTTCTTCGTGAGCCCTGTGCAGCAAAGAGCCAGAAACCAGAGCAGCATTCCCAGGTTAATGGGAGCAGCCAAGTCAGCCTTTGGAATGTGGAACTTAGGGAAAAAAGCAGAGCTTCCCCTAGGATAGACCCTGGAGAGCCAGAGCTGGGGTACAGCATGGTGAGACACCAGTGTGTGTCCTGCTGCCCTGGCTTGTTAACACAGCCACAGCACAGCCTGCCTTCAGCCACTGAGCTGGGCCCTTGGGACATTCCTGAACCCAGGAGAGGTGAAAAACAACCCTGGAGAAAGGAAAGGTCTAAGGGATGCTTGTGCATTCAGCGGTGAACTCAGACCTTCAGCCAAGGCTGCCCTCCCAGCCCAGCCCCACGCGCTGCTCAGATGCTCCTGCTGAACCCCCAACCCAGCACGGAGCTGGCACACCCAGGGACACCCCATCCAAGCTGAAATTGCAGCAGGATGCTTTGGAAGAGCAATGGACATGCCTGGCAATGGAAAAAGATCCTGCTGGCTGCACACCATGCCTCCAGCAGCAGCCGGGAACGGATATTTAAGGGGAAAGTACAAGAAACGGGATCAGTGTGGCAGCTTTTCCATGGTTAGACCTGCCATCCTTGCCTTTTTYCTCCTCCCTCCTCTTTGGGGAAGCCAATTCCAAGAGTTATTGGCTCAGCCATGCAAACCAGATGGCGACTGTCCTGCCGAAAGAGCCACACATGGCCGGTCAGCCCCGCTCTGCCACGCCAAAGCCACGTCCAGCCGCTCCTCATCCTCTCTGGGAAGGTGCCAGGTGGGAGTTAGGGCACCCACCCAACAGATCCAAGGGAATCGAAACAAAAACGGGTGAAAAAAAGCATGATTAGGGTCACGCCAGCACCATGCAAAGGATGCAGAACCGCAGAGCGAGGGGCTGGCAATCCGATCCRGGATTAAATAAATTAAAGAGGGAGRGGMAGGGGGGAGAGGCAGTGCTGTGGGTCAGTCACAGCACGGCTCCAGGCCATTTCCAAGCAGCAGGAGTTGAGGTGGCAGCAAGCTGCGGTGCCGGATCAGGCACAGCCTTGTCGGGAGGCAGCCCAGCCCAGGGCAGAGGGTGGAGCACACACCTTTGAGGAGAGGGACACGACTGGCCTTGTCCGCAGCCAGGCCACCGGCCTTTCTCCGGGGCGTCCGGCGGCCCCCTGCATCGGGCACCACCTCTTCTGAAGGAGCATCTTTGTCCTTCACATCACCTTCTGCCTCAGCAGGGAGTTTGGYTGTTTCTAGCACGGGTCCAGAATCTTCTCCCTCCTTGGGCTCAGCCCCTTTTTGGGGGACACTTTCAGAAGTTTGTGATGGAGTGACCTCTGGGCTTCCTCCTCCCTCCAGGGGCTGTGGCTTCTCCTCTTGCTCCTCTCCCGCTTTCCGTGACTCAGCTTCAATCACAAGCGCCTCTCCTGGGGTGTCTCTGAGGACACCTTTGGATTTGTTTTCTCCATCGTGTCCTTCATGAGTCTCCTCAGCTGCTGCTGGACACGAGCCCTTTCCAGGTCCCAGCTGATCCACAAGGGAAGTTAAACCCTGCTCAGAAGTTTCATCAACATCCCGGTCCTCATCTCTCTCCCGTCCGCCGGAATCTTCTTTAGAGGGGGTTCTGGCACACAAAGGAGACGTTCCATCTTTACGGTCACCTGCTCCACCTTCTCCTGCCGGACCCTCCGTGCTCACGCCTTCTCTGCCTCCCTGATCCCACAACTCACGGCTGCCCTGGGGCGCTCCGGAGCCTTGGTACATGTCCAGGGGGATTGGGATGGTCACCTCGATCCTGGTGGTGGTGGTGGACACTGCTGGRGGTGGCTGCTGGAGCCCCGTTCCCTGCTCCAGGGGCTGGCTGGCACCTTTTGCTGCCTCTGCCACACGCTCCCGAGGGCCAGGCTGGAGCTTGGGAGAGCTCGGCTTGCCTGGAGTCCAAGATGTGGGGTTTGAAATGAAGCACGGGCAAGAAATTAGCACAGGCATGTCAAACATCGCGTAACGCCGGGAGAGTCGGGGTTTCTAAAAGAGAAAAGTCCCACCCCGCCCCACCAAACAGACAACTCTCTCCTACCATGGCTTTTGCCTTTAAAGGGAAATCTGGTTTAGGTGTAGAGTTTTCCAAAAGCTGAGAACATTCCTATTTTTCCTAACACCACCACTGARCAGTTTGCTGGTCAGTGCCCACCTGCTCTTGCCTTCAAGGGTCGGAGCTTTCTGAGCACTGATCAGGTAAAAAGTCAAGAGCCTAAATCAGAGCACTGAGATCAYGACTGTGGCTTAGGTAGATTAACGAGACTAAAACAAGAAAAGATGGAATTGAGACCGACTTGGTCTTTCATTGGTGTCCTCCCCATTTTAAGAGAATATCACAGTCAAGTGAAACAACCACACAAAGACCTCGTATGTGACAGCTGAAAAGATCCCAGGACAGGGCAGAAAGGGCTTAGTAAAAATCTGGTGAGAAACAGCACTAAAATTAGGGCAGAGAGAAGAGAGAACTTCATCCCCCTCTGCTAACAATCCTGATTTTTTACAACAGTGCCACTATTTCATAATAAAGAAGAGCTGACAGCCCAAAAACCACTGGCCAGGCAAGTAAAAGGTTTTATTCTAATTGCAGGGAGCAGAATTGTGCTCATCTGTGTGTGGAAAGCAACAACAACCTGAATTCTGCCCTGAGCCGAGAAGGCAAAGACCTATTTTACTTCTGCAAAAGACATGGATGTCTAAATGCACTAATGGAGCCACGAGGAGGAAAGACACCGCCCAGCTGGAGGGATTTCTGTTTACTGCACAGGAAACTGCTTCACAAAATGGCTCTTCACTAAGATTTTAAGCAGCACCCTAAATTGGGGCTGTGGTGTACAGTAAAAACAGGACAGAAACATCAYGGGGAGTTTCAACCCCCTAAGTCTGCCCCATGGAATTAAGCTGGCACTGGGGGCTTTGGGAAAACCAGTTTTCCATCATGTCTGAACTAAGAAAAGTCAAGAGAAGCTTTCCAGGTAGCCAAGGGGTCCCTGGATAATTTCTGGCTCATCTAAGCAGACACATAATTAATGCTGTGAGAACACCCGCAGCCCACTGTGCCTGGCTTTGTCACTCACATTCCCCRAGGCTGGCATGAGGAGAAAAACCCCTTAATGCTGAATTCAGGGTATCAGTGAGCAGGTTTGAGTCATGTTTGACATTAGAAAGGCACAGAAATGAAACAATTCCCTTTTTTTATGTGTGACACACAGGATCCACACTGTCTTTGTTCAATCAGAGAAGCTCCTCTGCTCATGGCACATCCCAGCTCTGTCCATCAGCTTTTCCAGCCTGGAGAATGCCCTGGCTTTGCAACTGGACAAACAAGCAAAGTGACTTTGGCCATCTGAGAGAGAAATCTGGTGCATGASAAGCTGCAATTCCCTGAAATGAGTATGTTGGAACATTCCAAGCACGTATGACCCTCCTCAGTCACAAAAACATGGAGAACTGCACAGCTGCTGTGCAGGGCAGAGCATTTCCTCACAGAAAAAATACTCCCAAGCCACCAGCAACCAGTTGGCAGCGACAACTGGTGCCAGTGACAGACWATTCACCCACCTTGAGTGGCATCTCCTGCAGCGTGGTCCTCCAGGTTGGGAGTGGCTCCTACACCCGCCTCTTCAGCTGCTCCCAGGTCGGAGGAAGAAGGGGAAAAACATGATCAAAACAAGGGTTAAGTTGAAGTTTATGCCTGGAGAATGGATTTACCTCCCTGCTGAGGGAACRGGCAGGATCTCTGCTGTACCACGGGCAGCACCAGAAAGGAAATGGCCCCACAGTGATGGTGGAGTGAGGGTAGATCTGCTCAGCCTGTGCTTGTACAGACCAGAGGAGCATTTCAGCAAATTCCAAATCCTAAACAGCAGCTCAGCACAAGCTCTTTCAGGCAGAAARCAGGCTGTTAAGGAGCAAGGAAACTTGTGGGGTTTCTACCCCCACCTGGCCTTCATGCAGCCAGCAGCATTCCCATGAATGTCTCTTACCTGAGCTCACCTTCTCGGTGTCTGTGACCAACCTGTGAACCCTGCCAAGGCTGTGTGAGACCAGAAATTCCCAGTCTGATACAAATCTAGAGAAATCCTGAACTTCAGGACTGCTGGCACATAAGAGAAGCACTGTTTTCTTCACAGTGATGATGGTTTGTCTTTCATCAGCTTTTTTTCCATTTATTCTACGACTACTTTCAAACCAGCTTCAACTATTATATTTGTATGTCACAGCTCTCTAGTCAAACGAGGATTTTTCTGTTTCGTCCATTTTTTCCCAGAAGTTCAAGAAATACACACTGGCTCCCTGGGACAGTCAAATCCTCCGTGTTTCAGCCCAGGGCTCCACCAGCAGCTCAGGAACTGGATCCAGGACAGAAATTTCACTGCTGTGAGCTCGCTTCAGTGTTTGGCACTGCCAGAAGCCCTTTTCCACCCACTGCCTTTCTCAGGTCCTGCCTGATGCTTCCAGGAAAAGCCACTGGCYATGGCACAGGGGACACGTCCTCGTTTTTGGCACACAAATCCTGCTCTCTCACACACAGCACCGCCACGGCCGCTCCCTGCTCTGCCTTCTCCAGAAAACCAAGCCCAGGTGCAGCGATTGCCCACAGGGCACTCAGGCTGAATTAGTCACTTCACTTCCCCTGCATTATCCTTAAAAGCACTGCTGCAGTGGCCTGGTTTTCACCTGCCACTCCAAAGACACCCGAGTGCTGCAGGACGGGCACCGAGYGCCCGCGGGGACCAGCGGCCAGGGGCTGCTGGCAGAGGGGCAGGAACCACCTGGATCTGTGGCTATGAGCCTAGAGCTGAGACCAAAGCCACCACAGAGACATCAGCCAGGAAGATTTTCAGATGTGGAGCGGAGAAAAAGAGAGAAGAAAAGGCTGTGAGTTCCCCTCAGGATGGGGAAGGCAAGAGGACAACTGAGAGTGAGGAATTATTTGGAGAAGAAGGAAGCAGCGTYGGGAGCAGCGTCCCTGTGAGAGGTTCCGAGGTTTTATCTCACAGCACTGACCAGTCCAGCTCTCTGCTCTGTGTGCAGCAAGAGATGAAGCTGCACCTTGGTCTCCCTCACCTGTGGTTCCTTCTGGGATCTCCCCATGCTGCTCCGCACCACCCTGATCCTCGTGGTCTCCTTCCTCCACTAAAGGTGCTGTGGCATCTGAAAAAACAACACAGCTTTCAAACAGCTGCTRAGAGGCAAAGCCCTCTGGAGGCCAGGATGTGCCTGAAGAACTTTTTGCTCAGAGAAGCACTCGACACCTTCCCTTGAGCCAGTGGAGCTCGTGGAGGGAACAACCAGGCATGAGACAGCAAAGCCAGAACCACAGGAACACCATGAGCTGCCCCACTGCCACACCGTGTGCCACAACACACTCCCTATGCTTCTGAAGGCTTTGCCTTTTGGTCCAAAAATCCACAGCTAAAAGCAGCCTGAGGCACAGGCACAGCAATCCTGCACAGGGACACGGCTGGTCCCAAGGGACACCTTAAAACATCCCAGCACAGCTGCCTCATGCTCTGGGACACACAGATATCTGGCTCCATCTACCAGAGGGATGTCTGCCCATCCTGACAGTGCTGATCCAACTGGAAAGCAGGAAAACAGCCCYTCCTGCACCAGGCAGGTCCTACATCCTGATTTCTTGAGGCATTTTCCAGACAGTCAGCCAGCCCACGCCTCCAGGGCTGGGATTGCTCAGCATCTCTGCCCACTTTTCCTTCCTTTCAGASCAACTGTGCAAGCTAAAGCCTCTCCCTCAAACCTCCAAAGGCAGATAGTTGGGATTAAAGCAGCCAGAGGAACGCAGAAAGTGAAGGTAATTACAACAGTGAACAAGTTTCTGGATCACTCTGGAATCAGAGTCTTCCTACCCACAAACCATTCAGGACTCGGGGAGCACAGTGACACAAATCTGTGTGTCACCACCAGGACCCTGCAGTAAAAACTCTGCAGGAAACAAACCACGAGCAACATCCTGAGCTGCGATGAACACTTTTCTTGCCTTGCAGCCCACTCTCCACCTTTACAGCTCATTATCTCGTTCTGCAGCACAGCAAACAGTGATGAGACTAACGGGGAGCATTTTCTCCTCTCCTCCTGGGAAACCCCACGAGGACACGGCGTGGAGAGTCCGTGGCGAGGTTTACCACGGTCCCATCCATCATGGTTTCAAAGCAGAAAGTCAAAGAGCTCCCACCTTCCGTAGTTGGGGTGCTCTTAGCGTCAGATGTTTCAGAAACAGGCTCATCCGATCCATCATCGACTGGTATCTGAAGGGGATAGCCTGGAAAACATTCAAATACTTACAACAAGTCCTTGGCTATCAACGGGGGCCTGRGGGGGTTACCTGATTGCCCAGAACCACAGCAGCAAAGAAACTGCAGCTGCAGAGTAAAAACCACCTGAACTAAAAGCAAGCAAAGCGTGAAAATGCCAACCAAAAGCACCAGTGTCACCACCACCACCAAAAAGGAACAAGCAGAAACCCATCAGCAAAAGAAAAGCCCAGTGAACTGGACAGGCAGAAACAGCAAAGCATGGCACAAGCAGGATCTTAGCAACATAAGGAGGAAAGATGTGCAGCTCCTGAGTCACTGTTGTCCTCTCCCTCCCAGGATTGCAAACCAGCCCGTGTTGGTAACGGGTCGGTGCAGGACAATGTTCTGTGCCAAGAAGTGGTGGCAAAAGTCTTCTGGAAGAGCAGGGCAAGAGGCACAAGTCTCCACTCAGCAAGGGTGTGAGCAAATCAAATAATGAGAGCTGGAAAAACKGATTTGGAAAAGAAGAAGTGAAATCCCTGGGAACCTGTGATGTGTAAAGCAACTGAGAGGAGCTGTTGGACTGCAATGTTCTACAGAGCCCRGGATGGATGGATGCTGTGGATTCTCTCCAGGACAGAGGCCATCCATTTTATCTGGTGTAAGAGGTGTCCAAAGCACCTCAAGAAAAGAAAATTCAGATGATGTTTATATGGAGCATAACCAGGAGTGAGTCCCACCAGGCGTGCCGGGTTTCCAAGCTCAATTGTGGRGCGTGGTGGAATGAGAAAGAAAAAGCTTCTGGAGAAATGCAGGTCTGAAATATGGGGAGGAAGACTCTGTCATGGCCCCCACGCCCTCTGCTCACTTGTCCCCAGGTCCCTGTGCAGGTGAGGAAAGCAGGCAGCAAGCAGCATCCTTGAGCTGTGACCCCAAATAAAAAGCAGTGCTGTGTTTTCATAGCAAACCGAGGAGTGAACACCAAAAAACACTCGCAAAGCTGCAGCAGTGGGATCATCCCTAGGCTGGAGACCAGGGGCTGGTGATTCTGCTCGTGCTGGGCAGTGATGTTCACCAGCAGCATTTTCCTGTGACTGAGTGCTGGAGCATCTTTTGGGCTCCCTGTGGTGCCCACAGTGTCCTACTGTCCTGTCCCCAAGGATCCCTGGCACCACCACGCTGTTCTCCCTTCCCCTATTCAGCTCAKCAGAGGGTCAGAAAGGTTCATTCTGGATGTGCTCACCTGATGAGAAGTGTTTTTCCTGGCCAGGCGCGTGATCCTCCATCATGGTGATGTCCTGAGGCTGCTCTGCCACCTCTCAGCAAGGATACCTGAAAAGGAGAGTGAAAACTAACACCCATTAGGCAAAACCTGACACAACACGAGCAAAGGGAAAGTCCAGTTGTTCCTGCACAAGCAAAAGCATCACTGCATCCCTCACAACAAAAAACTGGCAATTCCTGCCAGCTGCATCCAAATTCCACAGGTATTTAAGACGTCCCAAGCAAAATTACCATCCTGGTGCACCCAGGGCACTGYTCTGACACAGTTTTGTCCCAAGAGACCCTTGGGAGCAGTAGGCTGAGTGCTGACATACTCCTGGTGTACGTTCCAAGCTCTGCATTTCCATTTTAATCATTCTCCCCATTTGTCTGCTGCTGAGGAGTGATGCTGAGGAGTGATTCTGCTGCTGAGGAGAGATGCTGAGAAGTGATTCTGGTGCTGAACAGTGATTCTGGTGCTGAACAGTGATTCTGCTGCTGAGGAACGATGCTGCTGCAGCAAGGGCTGCCCTCCATCCCTGGATATTCACCCAGCAGGGATAGCTACCACAGTTCACTCATCATCTCAACAGCCAGCCAAAAGGGATACACAGGGGACAGCAGGACTCTCCAAAGTTGGATTTGAGACTCCTAGAGAGCAGGGTGTCACTTGGTTGTGGCTCTGAGGGGACAGCACARCCCCTGCTCTAACCCCAAACCCTTCCTGCAGGGCTCAGAAAGCCCCACCATGGCACAGAGCAAAGCAAACAGGTCTGRACACCGAGGTGGAAGCAGAAAGGTGCCAAATCTCAGAGTCATTTTGCTAAAGTACATCGATCTGCAAAAGGAAATGAGGTCTCCAAACCCATTATCTGCTCCACGACGCAGGGCACACGTTTCTCTCCATGCTGGGTGGACAGACAGCACTTTTAGCTGCTTTCCTAAGAGCTGATATAATTAGAGCCATTGGCAGTGATTAATAATCAGCTATTAGTGCTATCACATGTTTGCCATGACCGTCAGGGACGAATGAATCCAGCGACAGAGCTCAGGTTACCAGCAGCAAGGAGGAAACTCGTGGTTTTGTCTGCTGGCAATAAATTAACTGCATGTATGAACCATGCAAGAGAAACTCCAGGGCCAGTAACCAGATCTCTCTCACCCAGCTTTTTTTAAGCTGGTGAGCAAGATGACTCTGCAATTTAATTACTGCCTTAGACAGCTACAAAGCCATTTGACAGGACTGGAGAAGCAAGGAAGCTGGAGAACTTGCCCTGGGAATGAAATCACCCATAAAGATGGAGGTATAAATTAGGAAAGAATTAAGTGTTTAATTTTTGCCCTAATTGGTGGGCCCTAATTATTTGGACATATGGCTGCCCTCCTCTCAGCACTCAAAGGATTATATTGATTATATTTTGGCCTCATCTGGCTGATGCTTGATACTATCTACAGCACTGAAATACTAAAATACAGCGTAGGGGCCACAAAAGCAACCTGGGCACAAAATGAGTGTAAAATAACACAGAAACGTGCTGCTCTGGTGTGTTTGTGTGTGTGCACGTACACAGGAGTGACTTCTCTGCCCCAAACACACCCGTGGGACTGAATTCAGCTGTTTTCCCAAAGCACTGCCCTTTTTTTTGGCAGGAAAATCAGGATGGCAGAAGCAGTTGGTGCCCCCTCAGCAGTGTTGATCCCCTCCCAGCCACACTCTGCTCACTTCACACCTCCCAACCTTTGCTTTCCAACTGCACATCCAGAGCAAAACACTCACAAATCTGCCGTGCTGCATTCACATGAGGCTGTCTCCTTACTCTACCTGCCTTCCTTTCTCCCTCCCATGATTTTTTTGGAGAAGCCTTCTTTTTTTGGAGCCTCTTTTTTTTTGGAGTGCCTTCTCCTGGGCACGCAGGGGTGATTCAGCAAGGCAGGATTGGCTGTCACCTGCTGTCGCTGCCCAGCCTCTGCCAGGCCTTTCCAGCACAAAGGAGATGCTGCTCTCTGCCTGTGCTGCTCAGGGACAGCCCCCACTYCCACCGTGGGCACGGCAGGATGTGGACATTAATTTTTCAGAGATAAGAGAGAGCTGCCTTCCCGTTGCAGGGGAGAAAAAGCACAACCCAAAGTCACAAAGGTCCATCAATAAAACACTCGGTGGGACCCTGGGAGCTCCTCAAACTCAGCTGCAGCTCAGGGATGTTTAGAGTGCCCGTTCATTTGGATACAGGGGTTTGGGGTGATGCCTGGATTGCTCTTGAGAGCAGAAGCATCTCACTGCAGATGAAGCAAAAAACTTGGGTTTTCACTCAGATAATAAATAAATGACCAAAGAAAATTTAAATCTTACTAAAACGACGTATTCTAGATTTGAATTCTCAAAAGATGGTCTGAAAATCCTGAAARAAGTGCATAATGATAAACCTGTTTGTTTTTCCTTTTGAGCGGGGGAAGGGGAAATCCCTCTTAGGGAAAAAACACAACAYCAAGGAGAAAAAAAAATATTCTAAAATATTCTTAGAGCGTAAAGCCAGCCCCGCCTTGAAGAAATGGTTCAGTGATGCATAATTAGAGCAAAGAAAGCTGCACAGAGATAAACTCGAACAGCACCCTCTGCATGGCAGATAAAGCACAAACCCTCCAAAGTGCCTTATCCATTCCCAGCAGAACTATTCTCCTTAAGCAGGGACACTATCTAAAAAGCAACAGCCTATCCCATCATTAGCAGCTCCTCCAAACCTCCTGTTTTTCCAGCCCTGGTGGGTGGAGAGGCCTTGGAGGAATCATTTGGAGTTGTGCAACCAGGGAGGTGAAGGTTTTGCCGCCAGGAGCTGGTGGAAAAGCCCGATTTCAGCACTASTCTGTGAGCCTCAGCATCACCCAGTGTGCCCAGGAGGGGAGTTTAACTGGTGAGAGCCAGGCCAGCTCSCTCCTGCCACCAATCATCCCATTCCAACCCCAGAACAGGTGGCTCAGAATCCATCCAACCTGGCCTTGAAGGCTTCCAAGGATCACAGAATCGTGGAACAGTTGGAAGGGACCTCAAAGCCCATCCTGTCCCACCCCYTTCCACTGTCCCAGGGTTCTCCAAGCCCTATCCAGCCTGGCTTGGGATCCAGGGGTAGCCACAGCTTCACTGGGAACTTGTGCCAGGGCATCACCACCCTGAAAAGGAAGAACATCCTCCTAATATCTAACCCAAAGCTACTCTCCTAGCTGGAACCCATTCCTCTAGTTGGAACCCATTCCCCTAGTTGGAATCCATTCCCTGGTCTGTCTCCCCTTTCCCCGTAGGATCTTTCAGGCACATCTTCCAGCCACAATTAGGTCACCCCAAAGCTTCTCTTTGTACCCAACCCCACCAAAGAGGCTCCTGGACTGAGCACAGCCAGGTCCCACCCCACAGCAGAGCCCCCATCCTGCTACCACTCAGCAAAACCCCACTTAAAACATCCAGCACCCTCTGATAGGGAAGATTTAGAGCCCAAATTAAGCCAGGCAGCCCAAACTCTTAATCCTTCGGCAAAAAGTTTCTCTGCAGTGAAAGGTAAATAAGCACAGGGTTACAAACAACGTGAAAAGAACGTGGAAAAAAATGTGAAAAGAACGTGGAAAAAATGTGAAAAGAACGTAAAAACAAAGTGAAAAGAATGTTGAGGGAGGGCAGATGCCGGGAGCACCCAGCTGCGCTGCGGGGCCACTCAGCCTTGCGTAATCCGTGCCAGACGACATCATTAGCCCTGTCACAAAGGAGCAGGGAGCAGCTTCCCCGCTGCCCCTCCGGTGCCAGGGGATGAGCGCTGCCACCCCGGGAAGTGGGTCAGCAGCTGCCCCCGACTCGGGTGGGCACAGCCGGACAGCGGGGAAAGGGCAGAGAGTGGGTCCGTGCAGAGATTCCCAGTGCGCAGCTCCGGGCATCACGAGGATGGCAAAGCAGCGGCTCGATTTACACACAGCCCGCTCCCAAAATAAACGCGGCGTTGGCAGAGCTGGGTGCGGGAGGGTGCGGGGGGCTCCCGGCGAAGAAAATACGGGGAAAGGAATATTTCAGCAGCGACCCACTCTCTGCCCTTTCGGGAGATACCGGCTGGATTTGGATGCTCTGGGGCTCAGCTGTGAGCACAGAAGAGCAGCTCCATCCTTCAGCCAGACATAAATTGCCAGGTAACCCCCAGATATGGGCAAGCAGAGCCTCCTGGCTATTGTCTTGTGCTCAGCATCTTCCTGCTCTGTTGTTTAATCACTACAGTCACAAAGCACTCTTGTTAAAAAAAACAAAAATTCAACAAACGCAGGCTAAGCGTTACCTCTGAAAGGTGATCAAACACAAGCAGGGCTTTAAAAAAAGGCATCATTCCGTCGGAATTACATAATTAAAACAGAGTGACAGCACCGTGAAACAACATCAGCCTGAAAGGCTGTTCATAATTCATAAGCAAGTTGCTTTTCATCTCCTTTGTGTACTTCTCCAAGTACCGTTTTTCCCAGAAGCTGACAGAGGAAGGAATATGGACGATGATCTCATTAATTGCAGGCACTAATATGCAGTGAGCTGAGAAACTACACGGAATTTCATGATATCTAGTCAAGAGGACAGAAAAACTTCTGCTAGGTTCAAAGACAGATAAATGGCTCTTGGAGCAATAGGATGGAGCTGCAAAAAAAACAGCCTCAAAAATGCATATTTTCTTTCTTTTTTCTTCCTGCAATTTTTCCATATTTGTTATCGTTTAACTCCTTGGAAATCTGAAAGTTTTGCCCCTTTCTCCAGGGGCTGGGTGCTTTCCAAAGAGCCATGAAATGGGTTTGGATTCACAGATTTGGGGGCACGGGGGTCTCACTACAGCAATAAGGACATTTTCTTTCCCTGTCACTGCATTCCCTTGTCCAAAATCCCTCTCAGACCAGCACAAACAAACCTCTCCACAACCAAGAGCTCCCAAAATGCAGGGGCCACCATGGGGAAGGGTCTCCAGAGCAGCCTCGTGGCCAGAGAAAAGCCGAGGAACCCTCCCTGCTGATAAGTTCCTCAGCGTTGCTGAGAATTAAACTAACAGAATTTGCCATYCCAAATCAGCTTAGGGCCAGTT